AATTGGATGCTGTAATTTTTGCAGTCGATAAAAGTGGAACAGCTCAGAGAGAACAAGAGAACAGACACAAGTGAGTTTATTAATTTGCCATTACATTTCACGCCATAACTTTATTCATCAGCACCATTGTCATCGTTTAGAGGCATTTGTTCAACCTAGAGCAATGAGATTTTTTATGCGCCGTTCACGTAGCTGGGGAGTGTTTAAGGATCAGCCTGAACTTTTTTAAAAGTGAAGTTTGCTTAGATGATCACTAAACTTTGCAGCAAGTAATCAAACTAAAAAATAAAATAGCTCAAATGCCGATATGATACGACGTATGCTCTTTATTTATATTGGAAAGGATGCTTTATAATAACACTTATAATTTAGCTATCTTGGTAAATAAGCGTGTAATATTTGTTAACAGAAAACTTGTATACAAGAACAAACTGATTGCTCTGGTGAAATCTCAGGCAGAGGAGATTCAGTCATTAAAAGATGAAATTGAAGCTTTGAGAAGAAAGACCTTTCCAACCTTGGTTCTCGAAGAAGAAGGAATGGGTGCGGCATGCAGGCGTGGTGATGGTGACAACAACCATGCAGATGATACGAAGAATCGATGTGACTCCTTTTTGACTGGAAACGAATAATTTTCTTTAATTGTTTTATTTTGATACGTTTCTCCTCAATTGTTCCATGCGTCCAACTGTTTTAGAGTATAAATTGTTACTAAAGAAAATAAAATTCACTTCTAACTCATATACGGTAGGGAATATGAATTACTAAAATATGTGAACAAAAGCATTTTGTGTAAATAATTTTATTCTACATATATGGTCTGAGGTGTATCGAGACAACGTTTCAAATTTTAACATCGGATTACAGGAAGTTTGTTTTTAAATAACGAAAGAAATAGCGCCCAGACAATTGTTTTAGTTAAAAACTTTTATTAAACTTTTTAATTTTATCAAAATTAGAATTGATTTTATTTATGGCAAAACCATTTAATGAAACAGCAAATGAAATCTCTACATTAAGCATGATGACGTAATTATAAATAACTTGAAAAAATGTTAAATTAATGTAACAAATAAAAAACAAATGATATACTGCGAAATGAAAAACGTGAAACTATTAAAGCAAAAAAAAAATTCAAGACTAGTTGTCCATGTTGTAATATGTAGTGGTCGTAGCTAGCATAATAATAATAATAATAAGTACATTGCAACAGACTATTTACAAATTAATTAAGCATAATCTATGTACAAAGATTCGCATTCTTTAGAGAAATTTGAATTTTCACTAATAAATTTATATTTGAGAAATTCTCGTGGTCAAATTATTGCATCAATCGTCTTGGTAATTCAACAATACAGAAAATAAATGGACAAAATGCTAAGATGAACGAGCATTATTTATAAAAATAACATAAAAGCAAATTGTGTGCTATTACAATATTAATATTATTGCGAATATAAAAATATCTTAATCCGTACAATGGAACAAACGACATGAAAATTTATGATTTATAAAAACTCCAAAAATGGTCGTTAGAAATTTGTCGATTGTAAGAAAAAATAGTAAGAGACTAAAACTTATTTTAAAATTTAATAAGTGATTAATAGGTAGTTAGTCAGAGTCCTATTTAAGCTATCTTGAAAATAAATTCACATGAAAAGACGAATGATTTCAGCCTATATTAATCAGTAGACGGCTTTGTTGTTTTCTAAATTACAAATGGTTGTGAGCAGAGTGGATAGATTGCCTTATGCGATATGAAATTATTAATTCAACATATTCAAATTCTTCCTATTATCTTCTCTAACAACAAATATATATCTATTACTTACAAATACATTACAAGCATACATAAATTACATGTACTTACATCTATATGTAATATACATAAAAAACTATAAAAAGCTCATCTAATTACATATCATGCGAGTTAATTGCACAAACACATACATGTATCAACACACACACACACACACACACGCACAAAACACACACACACATTATACGTTTACTTAAAGATTAAGAATAGTCACACATATCTGCAATTGTACAACGGATGTAACACGGCCAAATCTAAAAATAATGGCCTAACAGTAATGTTAAATAATAAAATAATAATAATAAAATAATAATAATAATATAAAATTGGTCAAATGTAAACTGTCCTACACTTAAAAGGTAACGCTACATGTGGACATGTAATTGCTTTTAGGTATTATGACGACTGTTTATGATGAACTTAGAGAAAAAATTGATACCTACGTAAAATCTGATGAATCAGGCTGACAAAAAGAGTTCATGAAATATTAAACCGATATAATTAATTATTCACATACCATTTGAAATTGATGTTATAATAATAGTCCATTTTATTATTATAATTGTACTATTGTATTATATTACCATCATTAATTACTGGCGGCTTCATTGCTGTTCTCAAAATGAAAGGGAAAACTTTATTAAAAATAATTTAGAAACTAATTTCAAAACCAATTTCGAAACTGATTAATCGAATGACGGTTAACGAGTGGGCTCCGATGAAGTTAGAATTGTGTGGTAAGGGAAAAAATAAAAATATTTGTTAGAATTTATGTAGAAACAGCTTCAGCGAAGGGCGCAATCGATCATAAGACTTACTTGCTAAACGGAGTTTTAGACGATTATTCATGTAAAATTCATTGAATATTTGTTACCAAAATATTGAATTGAGTAGAATTTTTTTCTAAATTTACAAAAGATAACAAAAATTTATTAAAGGAAAAAAAATATTGCATTTGTCATTCATTGTAATAAATATGGAGAAATAAACAGAAGGAAAGAAGATTAATAAAATGTGTTAAGTAAGAACCCATTTTTAATTGCGCTCGTTTCGTTAACTGCTATGTACACTGGTAAGGAAGCAAAAGAATCAATATATATATATATATATATATATATATATATATATATATATATATATATATATATATAAATAAATAACAATAAGAGCAAGCAAATGAAGAATGAAAACAACAGGAGAGTGACTGCAACAAATGTTGCCATTTGCCAAATGTTGTAAACAGAAGAAAAAGTATCAATGCATGAAAGAATTCACGATAGTAACGATCACATAGATACTTACGATGACATAGATAATTGATAGATATATGAATGGTAGTTGAAATGATACTGGCCAACACACTAACTCTCAACATAAGAGAAGAACGCATAACTCATTAAATAGAACCACTTAAACAAAAATTTTTTAAAGCATTAAAAAAATGTGTTAAAATAACCAATATGGCATGAAATTATCAAATCACATCAAGAGGAAAACGAATTCCAATAGGGTAAAATAATAATGAAAATTTGATTTAAATGAAAACTATGGATCAAAACGCTAATTGAATATGTAACACAATCAAGATAGCTAGTATTGAGTAGAAAGTATTAGTAGATAATACGTATTTAGTTAGGATGTATACATATGCTTGCTGGTGAGCACTTTTAAACATATACAGTTTTGGATATAAAGTTTAAGGAATAATTAGAAAAACTTAATAATAATAATAATAATAATAAATAAATAAATAATAATATATATAAATAATAAAAATAATAAATTCATCGATACAAGATAACCAAAATCTGTAAAAAAAACACAAAACAATGATAACGTTAATAACTACAATAATATTAATAATTATAAATATTGTCATAAATTTATAAGATGCTTGTCTCCAAAAGGAAGGAATGTCCAAATCAGAATAAGTGTTTCATCAAATTTAAGAGTAGAAATTTAAGGAGCGACACAAATAAGCAAGCATATATTATTACAACGCAAGTAAGCGTAAGCGTGTTTTACAACACAAGTAAAAGTTGAATAAAAAACGAAAAAAATAAAATGCACTATTGGCCATGCATGTAAACAATGGATAATAAATTATCTTATTATCATTTCATGGCTCATTCAAATATAGACTCCACCGATAAAAATCTCTCCACAGATTTCAGCATTGTTTTCCTACATGCAACTGTCATAAACACGAAACACGACATGCAAAGCCTCAAGTCTTCACTCATTTGCTCAGAACTTCAAATTTTTGTCTAGATTCCTGTGAAAAGAAATTACCATCAGCCCTCGTAATGTCTCAAAGTTTCAGCATAACAGACTTCAACCAAATCATTGAATTTGCCATCTAGACTTAGAAAATAAACTGAAATCATACTCCATTCTAGTCCAGAATATTTTAAAACCATTAAAAGTTACGTATTTAAAAAGACAGTTGATCTGACTCTAAAAATTCACAACCGACAAAAATTGGACGAGAGTTAAAGGTTGCCATTAGAAGTGAAGACCTTGCATCACCTTACTCCGACATTGCATTTCGAATGTGTTGAAAATATTGAGGCATTGCATAACGTATCCAGCCGGCCAGATAGATGGATTAAGATATATGATATATCTATTACGATATTATGATATAAGAATCGATTGTTATGAAGATAAAAAATGAGGATTGAATAAATTGATAAGGAGTGCAACAGGTATGCAACGGGCAGAGTAGACAAATCATGGGAGTAGTTTGATTCATTGTTTTGTGCTGGAGTTATTTTGAAAGGAGCTTTTGAACAATGAAGAAGATGCTATAAGAGAACTTGTAAATAAAATAATAAATATATAAATAACAGAATAAATATATTTGAAAAAAAGAATGAATGAATGAAAAAACATGAATGAATGATTATATGAATAAATGAGCATATAAGTATGTGAATGAACTATTAAAAAACTACACATCTCAAACGTTACAAAAAATGATAATATACTTATCTATAAATTTAACATTCAGAAATTCAACAAAATAATGAAAATGATGTACCTACGCTTGGTGGAAAATATGAATAAGTTAATGAAAACTGATTAATATGAGACATGTACGAGCTACAAAAAACAATCGATTGAGCCCTCAACTGATCACAATTAGGGTACTATATCAAAATACATTTTTTCTGTTAATAACAATTGTTTTTTAACTGATTGTTATTTCTTTTCAATATCCATCTTTACATAAGAGGTGAGTATAAGTTCGATTTTATGTACAAGATTGTAGAAAAATCTATATGTATATATACATATAAATGCTATCAATACTATCTATGTAAGTATATAAAGCTACGATATATCATCATCAACCATCATCAGTCAGTTTTAGGCTTAGGATATCTGGTCCACGCAATCATAGTCTCAGAAGACCGATGCAGAAAATTCAATTTCGCAAACAAAAGTTCCTCGAACGCAAACTCGCGCGCTTGTCTGACTAGATAGATATCCGTGCAGAGGCCGTATATCCTCTCGATATAGGGCAGACTGGTGAACATGATGTTCTGGATGTTGCCGACCGACTGCATCCGCACGAACTTGCCGATGACGAGGATGACAGAAACGTAGAGACCGATCACTCCAAAATTGTTGACGTAGGTGAGGACGCCCTTTGGTATGCGCTCGCTGAACGCCACGATGAGAGAACCGCGCCCGGAGTTGCAGACGGACAAATCGTGCTCCCTCATCTCTCTGAAGCAGTTCTCTTTCAGTTCCCACCAGCGTGATTTGTCGTTCTTGTTCTGGTGCAGTGACAGTGTGATGTCGCTTCTGTGAGCCAGCTTGCTACTCTCACCTGTCACCCAACGCAAGGATGTGTTTGTAATGAATTGACGGTTCATAAAAACATTAATGATAGGATGGAAGTGATCAAATTATATGCTAAGTATGGCACAAAATGATGATGATCGCAAACTCTTGATATTTTGAATGAATTCCATTAAGCAATAATAATTATCACGTCTCGTAAGCACGTGCACAACTAAGCGAGCAACATGATCACCGTGGTAGAGGAGTCCAGATTCATTGACACTCTTCCTCGATGGCACTGTCAAGTATCTCGGAAACAAATTCTCTATCGTCCTAAATGCAAAATCAGCAAATAATCATGTCGTCGATGAATTATATATTAATAATTCAATTTCTCACTAAACAAGATGCAAATGAATATAATCTTAAACACTCATATAAATTAACAAATAAAAATGTTCACGAACACTGATTCTTTGTAGGATCCATTAATCATCCTGAAAGTCTTATTGAGTGCATCCCTGTCTTTGGGATTGTCCGGATCCATTGGACGCGTGAAGTGTACCGACACCTCACGCTCTGTTAATCCGTTTAATGGTGGATCCCTGCATGGTAATTATAGAATAATTAATCTTCCAAAATAAGAAATCCTTTTCAATAATAAAATGTTTAGAATGTTAACGAAAATGAAATAAATAAATTATTTAAAAAAATAAAAAGTGAAATATAAAACAAAATTGGATAGGTTATGCGATAGACACACTAAACAGTGGAACGTGTAAAGAAAGCATTCTGACCACCACACCTGGTTATGGTGATATCAACGGAGAAACTCATGTTCCTCATGCTTTTCAGGTCTTCCAAGAGTTTCTTCTCGGTGGGATAGCTGATCTCCCAGGTTGATGACGACGTATTGCCAATCGATATTTTGTAAACATCATCTTCCCGGTAGGCGTTCAAAAATGCTAGTGCTCTCTGCGGGTTTCAACGCCATCACGTGAAAGTGTATGCAACCGTGTAAAATATATCTCGGTAATTGTACGTATGTGTGCGTGTACGTACATTTGCGTGTGGGCAACTGCAGATTAAAACTAACTAAAAAAAGAAATGACAAATTTTCATTGACTGGAAAGAAATAATAAGGACTGAACTAACAGGTATGTGCATGTAAATCTGCTTCAAGTTGACATATTCCTTGGGGTCGATTGGCGAGAGTTGGTTCCTATTGATAGATGTCTTAAAGATCGGCTGCAGCATTTCAATGTTAAACATGACGTGAAAATTAAATAAAAAGAAAACAATAAATGAAAATAACAATACAAAACAGAACGATGTTTATTACAAAAATGTATGTTCAATAAGAACAAAGCGAAGTGAATTTTTAATAAAAAGAATTTAAAAAAGAAAAGCAAACCTGAGAGGACATGTAACCACCGACACTTAACTGGAACCTGACAGCGATGGGAGGGTTGGGCTCGTAGATGCTACTTGACATGGAGAAGAGGAGAAGAGGCAGCCAGATGATGAAGATGAGAAGGAAGAGTACGAGACCTCCCAATCCATACTTCACAACTGGATGTCGGGGAATCGCTCGTGGAGTTGGACTGTCCTGTTTCCGATGTTTTCAAAGATTTGTACATCCAAATTAATGCATCTAACATATGTAATCAAATGATGAGGTAAAATTTGAAAAAAGAGTGCAGTCACATTTGTTTAATATTAATTTTTATCAGATTTTGAAAAGAACTATTGAAAAATCTGCCGGTCATACTGTAAACAAGTTTGAGTAAGTGAAGTGCTTGCAAAGATTATAAAATAATATGAAAAACAAAACACATACGCTAAATCTCAAAAATAATTTAGTGATAAAAAATGATGAACGAAAAGAAGGAAGCCAACATGTTCAATTTTCCTCCAGCACTTGAGCACAAACACGTTAGCGTATATATCTTCCATTTGCAACCAGCTGGTCAAAGCAAGAGTGGTGTCTGTCCACATCCAGTCTGTCAGTGCCCTCAGCTCCAACAGGAAAGGAATTGCCAAAAATCTAGAAAAAGAAAAAATTTAAATTATAAATTTTGCATACCATTTCAACGCAAAATTTTGATAAAATCGCAATAGAAGGTTATAAAGATAAAAAGTATGAACCAACCCTTTAAAGCAGAACAAATTGAAATATCCGAATTTTTTAGTGAGGAAATTTCCTGATATTCTGATTGGATAGCCAGACCTGACTTGATAGCACGAGAACCCAAAGTAGATGCATTTCGTGAAATACCACAACTGAGCTGCTCTGTTCTTTACAAACGGTCTGAAATTTTTTAATTTTACATGAAAAATTAACTAAACTATCAAAAAGAATTAGAAAGAATTCAATCAAAAAATACATATCTTTAACTTGTTAGTAGCGCTTTTTGGTTCCGTAAATTAGATAAAAAGATCAATTTTCTAAATTATTAATGATGATAAAATGCAAAAATGATGGCCAAATTTAGAATTATTGAAATTCAAATGAAACGGCCAGTCCTAATTAAAGTTTTGGCATGAGATCAGATCTTCAATCGAAACCAATTAAAAAAAAGTTTGAAAAAATAAAGAAAGACTGAACAAACAACAGAACGCACAACTAAACAAGCAACTGAACAAACAAAAAGCAGAACGAACATGTCAGTGATGATGGGCAGCAGGAAGAACATCCAGGTGTGAACGATGATGACGAGGATGATGTGGAAGATGAACTTGCCAAAGACCAACTTTCTCAGGTACAAGGCCCGATCGATGATGATGAGCAGGAATTGAACCAACAGCATGGCTAGGAAGGGAACAGGAACCTGCGTGGAGGGCAGGTACATCATTCAACATTCAATCCATCCCTAATGTACATATGTGGTCATTTGATAAACTTTATGCTGACATATTTATTTGAAGATTTACTAAGTAAACCTACAACAAAAAGTTATACTTGAGAAATAAAAAAATAATTTACAAAATGAAAAAAAAATGTACAAACTCGACTTTGTTGGATGACAGTTGCCACATCAGAATCTTCTATTTGCTAAAATTCAACAATTCAAGAAACAATTTTTAACTGCCTCGATAAAAATTTTGAAGACTTATAAAATAATTGACAAAGAAAAACTGTCTGATCATGACCTCTGCTCTTAATGACATAGCAAATTATATTATTCTATTGCTAAATCGGTGGCTTGAGCGATCTCTGGTCAATTGTTTCAAAGTTATCATTCATGAGAATGGTTCTTCAAGTGTGCAATATCATGGCAACATGGGCAAACCCACCAAACTTTTTGTCGTTCAATCAATTGCTAAGTCCCTCACAATGCAAAATACAACATACCAACAAATTGACTGATCAGCCAGCCAGCCAGAAGAATCGATCAACTAACTGACCAACTAACCGATAGATCGGCAAACCAGCCGACCAATCAATCAATCAACCAGCCAACCGACCAATCAGCGTCATCAGCAAACAAACCTCAGATGGCCCAAACTTGTTGTATCCGAAAACAACGATGAGAAAGGTGAACAGATCGCAGGCGAACATCGGAGCAAAGACGTCGTTGACTGCTGAGTACTTCGGATGGGTGATGTGTTGGTAGAAGTTTATAATGGGATTTAACAACTTCTGACACCTGACGAACAGTAGATTAACAAAAGGTATCATTAATTGGGAATTATTCCATTCAGCAGCCATCCACTTCATTCTATAAGAAATATAGCATTATTTAACACCACCTAGAAGAAAAAAAAATACTGACGGACTCAATTTCTTTGGCTCTCCATCGCCGGCAAGTGCATTGTCGCCTCCAGCTCTGTTGCACTAATCATTTAAATATTATTAATTATTACTATAATTACAACGTTAACTTAATGATTAAATAATAAACAAGTACATTTAAACGAAAAAGAAATGAGGAATGTTACGAAAAGATAGATAGATAGATAGATAGATAGATAGATAGATGGATGGATGGATGGATGGATGGATGGATGGATGGATAGATAGATAGATAGATAGATAGATAGATAGATAGATAGATAGATAGATAGATAGATAGATAGATAGATAGATAGATAGATAGATAGATAGATAGATAGATAGATAGATAGATAGATAGATAGATAGATAGATAGATAGATAGATAGATAGATAGATAGATAGATAGATAGATAGATAGATAGATAGATAGATAGATAGATAGATAGATAGATAGATAGATAGATAGATAGATAGATAGATAGATAGATAGATAGATAGATAGATAGATAGATAGATAGATAGATAGATAGATAGATAGATAGATAGATAGAGACAGAAAAAAAGAAAGAGAGAGACTGTGTATAATCAGACCTCTATGTTGGAGATGTTATTCGAATGAGGTTGGCGTAGGTACTTGGCATCATCCTTCAACCCATGTGTCCACAATCCACGTTTCTACATTTTTTAACACGTTCATTGAAAATCAGTCAGAAAACGATGTTGATACTGCTTAAGAATGATAAAACAAAATATATATTTCATAAACTGAAATGAATAAATTAATTACTAAAGCCGGTTTAAAAAAATCAAGTCGTCCTTACGTTACGTGAACGTTAATGTCGTCATAATTACAATCTACATCACAATCTACGTCACCGTCTAAGTCGCCACCCACGTCCCAATAATGACAATCCATAATCTCCACCTACCTTCAGCATGGTCCGGTGAATGAAGAGACAGAAGAGGACGAAGAAGTCGAGAGCAGCATACATTTCCTTCTTCTCGATGCCGATAATTTGCGGCCAGGCGAACTTCTCCGTTGAGTTGTTCCATGGGTAGAAATTGAACTGGAACAAGTACTTGATCACTATGATGAACTGTGTGAATGCACGTGCTTATATATTTTAATACTTTTCATGCAACTCCAGCGTCGATAATTCTAGTAAAATATTATTCAATTCACGATGTGAGCAAAAAATGAAACAAGTTTAAAATGCTGGATCGATTAAAAGTTTTTAACCCGCCTTAAAATTTATCAAATTGGGTTGATGTTAATAGTGAAAGAGATGTATTTAATCAGGAACTTTTTAGATTGTAAGCGTAGTGTTGTTGGCTGATTATAACATCAATTTCCTACGTACAATCATGTCACTGTACAATGAAAATAAGTGGAAATAAAAAAAGCAACCAGCCTCAGTGTAGGTAATGGCAGTAACCCAGTAGAACTTTGTGGGCCTGGGGACGCTGAGCATGCCCCAGAAGAAAACAGAAAGTGGGTAGACGATGGAGAGGATGCTGGCGCTCATCAGCGTGTTGAAGATCATGGCAAAGTAGCAGAGGAGGTCCGTGCGAGCTACAAGCGCTTCGGAAATGGCAATGATGAGAACGATGATGCGAGGCATTGTGTTGTGAAACTCATTCTCCTTTCTCTTTCGGTTCGTTATTTCATCTTCTCTGTCGTCGTTATGGTTGTTGTGGTTGTTAGGCGATGTATGATTTATTGCTAGTAAGATGACGTGCCGTTGGTTGAAACATGGAAATATTTACGCCTAAATAACTCATTATTAAATTATGAGACTCCAAAAACTAAACTGTTCTAAAAATATAATTATAAAAATGATAAACTTGAAACAAAACGCCAACTTGAGAACAGCAACGCCATCCTTTGAATCCTCTTCCAACATGTCCGACTCAACCCTTGGCATCTTCAGCATGGAATCCTTAAAAAGTGCAATCAGTTTGCAAAACTAAACAAATATAATGAGGCAAGATTACTTGAAAAATGACGTCAGAAGAGGAGGCATGAAATATTAACACTGCTCCTAATGAAATGATCGTTAGAAGAGCATATTAATTTTCATGGTCGGCCATAAATTTAAAGACCATTTGTGGCATAGCAACATAAGTTTACTGTCTGATCATAAAGGATAATTCAAATAGGGCTATTACATTGAAAAACATGTAAAAAACCAGTCTAAAAAAAAGTGTCACAAACCCTAGATAATAATTTTTCCCTTTCCTTTTCCTCATGCAGCTTCATGGAGACGGATCTGTAGTGTCTGGTCGATATGTTGATGCGCAAGATGAGGGTGTCAATGAATCCGATGAGAACAATTTTGCACATCTTCAGACCTGTCTCAACTTTTTTTGTTGCTTCGTCAATCACTGTGAGATTATATTTTTTTAAAAGATTAGTTGAATTTATCGTTCGTAATATAATTTCATATGAAATGTTAAAAAAAAACTACTTAAACAAACATCATCTTCCTTCACGTAAACCAGCCAACCAACCATCATCATCAAGTTCTTCCTCTTCAATTTCTTCTTCCTCTTTCTTTCCCTCCATCACAGTTGAATCGTCTGCTGAAGGACATACGGTTCTAGATCCGACAGGACTCATCTCACTCTCCATCTCCAACGTCACCTCAGGAAGACTTGGCATGACGTCACTGTGACGAAGAGGCTTCTGATAAGATGATGTGGTGGGTGCCAGGTAGGAGGACATGGAATAGGTAGTCGTGTGCGGAGTGATTGTGGAGAAGGTGGTTGTGATTTTGTCTGGTAGAGCTACGGTAGATGAAGTAGTTGTGACTGGTTGGGTGGAGAGAGATGTCGTCACCATTGACGGGTAGTCGTCAACCGTGAAGGGACGAAGTTCATCAATCTCAGAACCGAGCATGGTGGACGTCGTTCCATCAAGAATTGAAGTAGGCGACTGTAAGGTGTGTGTGTGTGTTGTTGTTGTGTGTGAGTGAGTGATCAATGTCTTTGACGTTGAATGAATGTGGAATTTGTTAAATTAAAGCATATGGAGGCATACACATTCAATCACTTCTATTAATTAATCATCTATTTTACATGACTGACCATGTCTGCCTCAGGTGTGGTGTACTCCTTGGCAGAACTTATGCTGATGCTACGAGAGAAGTTGCTCGTCTTCTCAATCAAACTAAGTGCCTCTTTTGGCCCACCTCCGAAAAATGCTGTCGCCAGCAGCTGGTGGGAAAATATAACAAATAGGTAAAAGAGAAACACAATGAATTTTTTAACCCAATAAATGGTAGCAATGATATAAAACTAATAAGTTTCATTTTAAAACAAAAAAAAGACCAGATAGAGAAAAAACATTAAAATGGGATAAAGAGTTATCATTAGAAAATTCAATTTGATGTTTGTTAGTTATTGTAATTAATAAAAACACGCAAAGTCAACTAATAGAAAGCATTAATATCAATCCAATAGATGATATTAATATCATCAATGGATTGATTAGCAGAAAAGACGAAACGAACGAATAAAGAAACAAACAGTGGTAGGAGCCACGGTGGTCCTCTTCCTCCTCCAATCATCATGCTCCTTGTTGTTGGAATCTTCTTCCTCACTCATCGTGTCTCCATCCGTCATCTCCTGGTCCTCCTCATCAACGTCCTTGAACATGTAGTAGTCGCCAGATCTTATAACTGGCGGTTGGTTGGATTGGGTTATGGAAAAGTTTTATCACTTCTATCAAAATTGAAAAACCATTGTTTAAATAACAGCTACAAACTGAAGCGACAGCAAAATTATCAGCAACACAAAAATAATGAACAACAGATCAAAACGCTAATAAGAAATGAAGAGTACGAACTAGTGTAATGGTCGTCGAATTGTTCCTTGGTGAGCATCCTGGTTTGCATGCAGGCAGCATGTTTCGTACGAATCCTATCCATCTTCACTTTTATATTCTGCAGTACCCTCTCTTCGTTGGCTCTTAGAAGGTTTATGTCATCTATCAGCTTGTTGTTTATCAGCTCAGCTCCTCTGTTCATGCGTGTGGCATGTATTAAAATATAATGTAGTAGCAGCATACAGACAACAGATCACCCGAAATGCCACAAATGATCACAATACAACATCTTAGTGGCGATGCAAAGATGCAAGAATGAAAGGACATCAAGAGAAATCATGCGAACCTGGCAGCCAGTTTGTTATTGATCCTCAGCTCATTGACAACGTGTTGGAAGTACCAGGTCTTAAATATGCGCAGCATAAAGAGGAGGAAGGCGAAACAGAGGGCATCCCATGATAAACCTGCCTCATCTACCGACATGTTGCACTTTGATATGTTCGATTTGCCTGAGGGAAAATTATTGTTAAAAAACCTTGGGCATATATTATTATCACATAAATCATCTAGTAATGTTAACCAATACCACCAATTGTTGAATTTAATCATCAACCTTAATCAATTTTTCTTCTCACACAATCGTCGTCATCAACATCATTGTCATCATCGTAATCATGCTACTAACTTATAACATAGGTAGTAGACTTGAGACAGACAATATTGAACAATTGTATGACCCAGCAGTAATCTTGGTTCAGTTGTGATATGTACACACAGCCTAACAACTGCAATATGCCACAAGTTTCAACAATTACTCACAACAAAAAGCCAACACAAATTTTCAAAATTAATTTTCCACAAACCTTGTTTAATATGATCAAAAGAATACCAACACTGCATAACACAACTGACTCACCTGCAGTATACATTTAGCAAGCAGAACCAGGTAGCAATACATCAAGAGACCCATCCACCTTTAATATGATACAGAAAATTTTGTCACTTTATCAAAAATACAAAGTCCTAATTCTGATCAATAAATTAAAATTAAATATTAATTTTGCTAATAAACGCTAGAACAAATTTTAAATCAAAAACAGAAACCATCCCAATTAAAAGGATGTATTGAAACAAAAATAAAAATTCATTAAAAAAAATATTTCCCATCGTTTACACTAAATAAACACCACCTAAACCCGAACAAAATGAGATGATCTAACATGTTTGTAAGTTTCTTCAGGGGCTTCAGCAGCATTCCCTCCCCAAACCAGAGGAAGACAAAACAGCCAACCAGATATCCGAGGCAGAAGAGGCTGATCCTAGACATACCGGATATGAAAACAACCATCAGCGTCACCCAGAATGAATAGAAGAAGAGCACAGTTTTTATGTAATCCAAGTAGGAACTGTGGTAAATGGATGTTAAAATTTGTTTGATTTGTCCTGGTACTAAATTTTTAGACCAAGCATTGATTTTTAAGTTAAATATTAAATTATTAGATTTTGACATAAAATAGAATGTAAAAAGTGTTATTTAAAACAATCATTTGCGTTATTAAGTTACACAACATTTCATGCCAATAAAAAAAAACAAAGGTGAAAGATTAAAAAATAACCCAAAAGTTAAAATCTTATTGAAAGAAAAAAACTGCTAACTCTTTATAAGATAAAAAATCTGATTGAGGGTTTTTAACTTTTTTGTTCAGCCGATCGATGATGCTCTCATTATCATCTCCACCGAATTCTTCCAGCTTGTGAGCCTCAATGGAGAAAACATTCCACTGCAAGCAGGCAAACAGTAACTGGAAATAATCACCTGCAAAGTGATAGTTTTATAAATTATAACCTTAATCTTTAATAACAGCGTAGGCTATGCCAATAAAATTTATTAAAAATATTTAAAAAACGAAATTACAAAATAAAGTCATAAAATCTGGAAAAGAAGTTATGAAATGAAAACCAATGAGTTTGCGAGGATTCGGAGGATTCTCATAGTCAGGAAGGTAGAGGAAGATTTTGAGGTTCTTGCTGAGGTCATAACTCCATGGGTACACTGAAATATCAACAGTGAATTAATTGTTAATATATATTAACCATAAAATAATAAATAAGTTAATTTTAAAAAAATACATAATACAATAATATACAAGGATAACGCAACTGAAAATTTCCGTTCATTCTCACAACGTGAAACAAAAAAAAGACCACATAATCACACCAAATGAGACCAGGACACACCACCCCATCTAAACATAACCATATCACAACTAAGGACCTCACAAAACATCGAACAACACGAAATCAGATGTCTCTAGAAACGTACCCCAACATAGAGCGGGAGGAGCTCCAACACAAGAGAGGTACTGAGCAACGAGCAGAATGACCAGGAAGATGATGTAGACGGGCCAGACGAACGCGCAGTGACGTCTGTGGAGCATGAGCAGCACACCGAGGAAGACCCCGTACACCACCGAATACAAATCAAGACGAACGACCATTGTTGTCATGGATATTATGAAGCAGAGCTGTCAATTTCAGTCAATGGGTAAGTCAGTAAGTATTGTGTTTTACTTCATTAGTTAGTGCATTAATGCTGTAATGCAGATTAAACAAATAACAACGACTATTGAAGACGAAAAAACTAAGAAATTGAAACAAACATACTTCTTTGCCGAACTTGTAAAAGGAGTAGTTGATGAAAAACTTGCAACATTGGGAAAGACCCTGGTCAGCGTGTTGTCTCTTGATGTACATGAAGACGATGCCGTCCATGGGCGGTGTGTGCAGAGGATGGCGGTAGTGCTGGATCTGGTGGTAGCGAACTATTGCTTCCAGGCTCAACATCAGGATCATTATTATGTAGATCTTCGAGAGAAATTTTGATGGAGATGGGCAAATTGATAGAGTAGTGAAGATAACGTCAACAAAATTTTTATTGGAGTTGAAAATAATGAAGCAGTGATTTGAAGCCTCAGTAGTCTAAGTGATTTCAAAAATAAAATATCAAACGAACCATGAGATATCTTGCCATATTTTTGTCCTTGTGTATGCCGATGAAGTTGGTGTTGTTGAGTGTTTGATCGAATGGAGGATGGATGAGTACTGAAGAATCATTGCTCTGATAGAAAGAAAGTCAGTATTACAATAAGTACATGAACAGTAATGTACCATTGAGAAAGTTCAAACTTTGTTCAATATATCAAACAATGTGAATATACATCACATAAATTTAACGCAACAAAATTTTCAAAGTTGAAACTTACAGTACAATTTGAGGTCATGAGGTCATCGACAATTATATTCATCTGGTAGATCATTTTGAAGAGAAGGATGGCAGACGATAAGATCATCTGCAGAATGGAAAGAGTGGAATGCAACCGAGGAAATGGAAGAAGAATGACAACCACGAGCACTAGGAGAGTGTTCAGCGCTGACACCTATGTGGTAGTAAAGTCATACACTTCTATGAATAACTCACACTTTTTTCGTTAAAATAATAATGCTTAGAAAAGCAAATAACCAGCTTTTATAGTCTTATATGTCACGATTTAAAATTAAAAATGTTTAATCAATGAAAACTATTTGAAATATTCAAAAGCATGCAAACGATGAAGCAGAGAACCTCGTAGACGCAGCAGATGAATATCGTAGTGACAGTAACTTTGAAGATGTGCACCTCCACAAATCTCCACAGAACAGCACTTGTCATATTGAGAAACCTGTAGAACTTAGTCCAAAGATACGTGCAAAATATGAGGATCCTATCTTTACGACCTGCGTTCAAGTGGGCAAATAAAAATAATAACGTGTTATGAGCAGAGGTATAAAAGTGTGGTAAAATTCTTATAAAAAATAATTGGCTAGGTTAATAAAAATAAAGTTTGTAATGTAAGGATTCGAGTTGTAAGGTTTTGGATAAAAAGATGTTAAGAATAAAATAGATATAAGTAATGTCAATCAACGTATGCAGTGTGAGAGCATTTTGAGGAAAGTGAGTGATTTTCTTATACGCACTGAAACTGCGAACGTTGAATATATCCCGCAAAATAAGATGGAAAGGATTTAACAAAAAGTACCAGAGTTGAAAAATAATTTTCGTAAACGAAAATTATGAAAAACGATAAGAATGACAAAACTGTTTCGCTACAAAGACTACAATCACTCCACTCCATGAAGATGAAATAAAATTATTGAATCCGCAAGTATGACTGACTGAATAGCACGCTGAATAGATAAATTACAACACTTTTTGAAAGAACACAATATACATTTAGATCTAACAAACGAAAATCAAGACCTGAAACAAAGTGCCAGTCGAAAGATTAAATAAAAACATTGAATAAGTTTCTTAGATATTGAAGAAAATTTCTAAACCGAGAACAAACGTAAACTTTGTATTATTAGAGAAACAACAACACATTACCTATATTCAATTATTCAGTTAACTAAGTGATTATTTGTTTCATTTTTTTTATTTATTAGGTTAATTAAATAATGATTTGCCTCAGTAAATTTTATTCCGCAAAATTGAAGATTGAAATAATTGTTTAGTTTAGTGTGCAAATGCAAAGAAGTCTATTACAATTTATTGGCTTTTAGAGGATTGATGATGATTTGCGACTAATGAGTTGGAATTTGATGGAGGAATCACATTGCAAAAAAATTAAACATTTAAAAAATAAGTTTAGGCAAAGATAACGTGTTAATACATTGAGAAATTGGTTGAAATCATTAACGAAAATAATTATTTTATATTACCATCTTCATTAGTAGTAGTGATAAATTAATGACATTAATAAGCAAACTTGACCAAATTTTAAAAAAAGAACACCAGATAAATGTAAAATCCATTATAGAGAATTCCGCCGAGAATGGTCCTTACCAAGATAATTTTCGAAGGAAAATAAGCAAAATAAAATAATTAGTAAATTTCAATTTATGTACCAATAATTAAATATGTATATATAAATATTATATTAGGGATATAAGCCTGTGATAAATTCATTATTAAACCATTTAGCTCTCACTGGAGTGACCACATTAATTGGGGAAGATTTAGTAATGTAAATTATGGCTTTTAGTAAAATAAAAGTAAAAGCCTTTTACGAAAATTGTTCCGTAGTTAAATAGGTATTCACATTTGATATAACGTCATATAAGCAAAGCTGATTAATAAATGGAATACATTTTTGAAATTATCAACAAAAATTTCGTTTTTATACTTAAAAGGTTTAATTTGTAAATTTAATTTTTGTTAAAATTTGTTCGGTTAAAATGGTTAATACTTTTATTACTATTTTTCACGTCAGCTACTTATTACTTCTATTAGTAATTTATGAAAAGAAAATAACCTAGACCAAATATTGTAATGGTAACGGTACATTTGGAACATGAAAAAAAATTGAAACAATAAAATAAACATTAAAACATAATAATCCATTAAAATTAAACAAACATTAACAACATAAAAATTAGATTAAATTAATAAATTATTAAATTGTTAATAAAATAATAATTAACAACAGATATATATTTCTATATACACCATGTGTGTGTGTGTGTTTTTCCTGTAGTTACACATACTTTTATGTGGTTACAAATTTTATTTACATGGATACTAACTCAACCTTACCACACCAAGCCTTCTGGCATTGATTCGTACTGGTTTGTTGTTATCAAACGTATAATTAGAAGACGTAAATGTTAACGAAAAATAATTTGAAATCATTTTAACGAAATTTCACGAACTGAATATAATTAATATCCTAAATAAATCAAAATATGCACGTTATAAAATATTTTACTATATTATATTATATTTATATATATATATATTTTTTAAATGATAATTAGTTAGGAATCTGCTGTGGAATTTTACAACGTGATGACTTCTAGGTAAATATCTGAAGAAAACAGAAGCAAATGCCTATTGTCATAATATATGCAAGTTGCGAAACCGTTTCTAATCTTTAGATTCCCATCAAAATATTTTCATGTAAAATTGTCTAAACAACTTAATTCATACTGTTACATCTCTTTATTAACTAGAAGCAAAATATTTAGTCATATTTTTATAGTTGGAATAAACCTATAGAACCAACAGAGTACTTGAGAAATCGAAAAACTTTAAAAATCATCTAAAGTTATCAGTGGTGCGGTACTTCCACGAATGCACGTTACAAATTGTCAGATGTATTTACGGATAATGCAGATTCCTAAACAGGAAAAAAACCCGATTGTTATTTTAATAACCCTAACAACCTAACTATAATAACAGATAATAATGATGCAACTGATATCCAGCCAAACAAAAATTCTTTAAAAAAAACATCAACGAAAATAAAATCCCATTCAACCGTCTCGTGTGTTAATACTTACTAGCAACGTGTTAACAGTTCAATAATAATAAACCATATTAGTAAAATTTTTATGGTATATGTAACCATTGAAATCTAATAAATCAACTAACCATTTGTGAAATTTTGGACTATTTAACCTACTCATAAACCCTCAATTCAAAAGTTAACTATTTGAAACCGAAACCACCAAATATCTCATAGAAATTTGAGAAAAACTTAAATAAATCTATCTACGTTTCTACTGTTTTAATTAATATTTATTCGTTTTAACCACTAACTAATTTTTCTTTGATTGACTTGTGGAAGAACGATATGTGTAGTTGAGGTGAATTAATATTCAGTTCATGCGTTTAAATTACGATGACCTACCATCTATTATTAAATCCATTTATGTATCCGTTACATGATGTGATTGAACTATTTGAATCATAATACATCAAAAAGTCCTTATCCAATAGAATGGATCGCACAGACACCCGCACAGACACACACACACACGCACAAACACGCACACGCACGCACAAGCATACATATTAAGTATAATCTAATATTATATTACTAATATAGCTATATGAAATGAATGGCAATAGATAGATGAATGATGATAATTAATTAACTATACAATGAATGATCAATCATACGAACGAGTGAATGGATGAAAAGTGAATGAATGAATAAATGAATTACTGAATAATGGATGATATAATAGATGGAATAAATGAACGAAAAGATGTACAGATGGATGAATGGATGGATGAATGAATGGATGGATGGATAAATGAATGGATGAACAGATGGATCAATAGTCGAATTGATGGATGGATGAATGAATGGATGGATGAATGGACGAATAGATAAATGGATGGAATGGACGAATAGATAGATGGATGAATGAACGAATAGATGGATGGATGAATAGATGGATGAATGATATGCAAACCTCTTCTACTAGCTAATGCACTGTCAGCTGTTTCCCTTCTTTCGGGAGCCGGTTCATTTTCCATGGATCTGCAATTGAAACATTCCACGTCATGACCATCAATATATATATATATATATATATATATATATATATATATATAATCCTAATATATATATATATCATCCTAATATATATATATATATATATCATCCTAATATATATATATATATATAATATATAATATATATATATAATATATAATATATATATATATCATCCTAATATATATATATATATCATCCTAATATATATATATCATCCTAATATATATATATATATATATATATATATATATATATATATATATATATATATATATATATATATATATAAACATCATCCTAATACCATCATCGTTCCCACTTATATCAAAATCCTGATTAGGAAGTGGGAAAACTAAAAACCGCACATACTTGAACCGGTTGAGGTCACTCATCTTGAGGAAATCATTCTGGAAGTAGTGAAGCTGGATGCTGACCACTATGAGAAACGAGGTCGGGGTCAAAAGGTCAATGAACAATTCCGTCGTGTCGATCTCCTTTAAACCCAAGTTCAGAAGCCTAGAAAATGAATAGTGATGTAACAAATTTATAAGAGAAACATCAACAAAAAGTGAATCAACAAATATTTAAAATAATACTTCCATTAATGTATTTTTATTTTTCAGTGACAAATTATACTACATATTCTAAAATATCTACTTCTTTACACATTTAAATGTTACACGTATTTTAAACTAAGAAAAAGATTTAAATGCAATCAGGGAAACGAACATTTCTTTCCTCATGCCAGTGAAACTTTCCCAATGCTTTGGAAAGCCATCGAACTGGTAGGTGTATATGCAGACGAGGACAATCATGGAATACAATATGACCACCCACCAAAACACCTTTATTGTCGCTCGCCAAAAACTATAGCTCACCTTTCGCAAATACATTCATTTTTTTATTCAACACTTACTAAAACTAATTTGCACGACGCATACATCAGCAATGAATACAAAATACAAATATAGTTATGAAAATCGTTTAAGATTAATGTTTGAACAAAATTGAACGAATAAGGATTAAAAAAAATGAAAATTAATTTAAAAAAACGGCAACAAAACACCTGGAATGAGATGATGAAGTAGAGAAACATGGACATGTAGATGAGTCGAAAGACAACAGCTTCCTGCAGAGATATGAAGAGGAACAAGGCAGCACATGCAAAGATCCAGTACTTGCACATTGTGTGCCATATCCACAGACCTGGTTGTGTGCATGCATATCCGGGTGTATGATTGTACGTGAATGTATGTGATTGTATGAGATTGTATGTGACTGTATTTTGTATGTTATTGTATAATAGTGAGTGTACATGATTGCATAGTATATGGTTGTATGTAATTGTATATGAATGTATAGCATATGATTTTATGTGATTGTATAGTACACGGTTGTATGTGATTGCATGTGTATTTGTGTATGTATTTGTATAAGATTGTATGCATGCATACATGATCATAAATTTATAGTAAACAAGCGGGCATATCACACTAGTTATTTATAGTAATATTTATTTATTTAAGCTTATCAGCTAAACAATTATTTAGAGATAGCATTTCGAATTACAAAAATAAGCAGATGTATATGTGTTTGTGTATACAGTATATAAAATTGACAGGAGATATATCACAAAGCTAATCACGTTTGCAGTCGCATATCTACCTGAGAATAAAAATTTTGAATCGGCATGTAATAATGAAAAATGCAACCAACCTATATTTCGGACAATTTCACTTTCTCTGCTGCTCAACTGGGCTGTTTCAACCAATAAGGAAGTAAATTAAGAGAAAACTTGAAAAATCAATCAGTCATGGAACTTTTAACGAGTTAAAAAAATCTATCGACACACTAGAATATAACATGAGAGGCCTTATTAAACAAGTAATAAACAGCTATCGTGTTCTTTTTAAATAATTATTAACATCACTCCACCATCATCAATCCTTCACTAGCAATCCCTCAATATCAATCTCACCAACATCAAACGCTCAACGCCATTGCCATCCCCCCATCTCCATCCTACCATCAGCAGCAACACCCACCCATATTAAGACTCCTCCGGTTTATGCCAAGAGGTTCCAGCATGATTTCGTGGGTTTGTTGCGGGAAGCCAGACCGACGTTCACGAAGGTGCCTCAGTGTCAGCCAGAACACACACGTGAACAACAACTGCCATTAAATTGTCATACAAATCAGATAACTTTTTCAACACTCCAAACTGGAAAAGTAATAAAAATAAGATCAATAAGCGTACGTTGAAATTTAATCAGTGCCATATTTATAGCCATCAAAGGCGTTTGTTAACAAGAGAAAAACACATGATGACACTCGTGAACAATTTATTTATTTATTTAATCCATTCAGGCAGAGCCAGCAGACCAGAAGCTTGGCATAAGCTTGTATGGCCAATAATGTTCAAATAAATAACTATATAAACAGAATAGTAACAGTTAAGAATTAAGTGTTCAATCAAAAAACAAAAGACTTTAAACGTTTATAATTGATACAAGGTCTTGCTTATGCCTGCAAGCAAGACACCATTGCGACAAACACTAGTTTTTATTAATGGAAAATCAAATTTACCACAATGTCTTTAGTTGGAATTCTTATTATATTTATAAGTATCTGAGAGTGACGAATCCTTTAGAGATACATTTTGAATATGACATAATATGAGTTGTGAACATGTAATCTGAAGATGAACGCATCAGTGCGATAACTGAAGTCTACTTGAGAGTGAACCAGATTAATATACATCAGTTGATGTAGGGGAGGCCCGCTTATCAACGCCTCGTTGTAAAAATGTGAATGAGTTTTTATGAAATTGAACTGTAACACAAAACTTCTTCAAATGATTCAATTGTTAATGAGACTCTTTCAAAACAACAAAAAAAGTAATTCACATCAGAACATGAGTGAGTGAGTGAGTGAGTGAGTGAGTGAGTGAGTGAGTGAGTGAGTGAGTGAGTGAGTGAGTGAGTGAGTGAGTGAGTGAGTGAGTGAGTGAGTGAATGAGTGAGTAAGAAACCTTAATTGCCAGTGGACCAGCAGGATTTTCATATTGTACCAGGCCGATGTCCCTCAACTGGAAGCCCTCCTTGATGGAGGTAGGCAGCTCATCTGTAGTCAGATCCAATCCATAGATGTACTGGAGGATGAGGAGGCTGATGGCGTAGAAGAGGATGATGGGAGACAGTCCCTGGCACATGGATCGCTTCAGGGGCATGATCCAGATGAAACAGGCACACATCAGGAATGCAAACGTCAGCCAGCTGTGGTACATTATACTCCATACCTGTCAGAATTTATTCAGCATATATATATCAAATTTCAAATCTTGATCCAAAAATGTATTGTATAATTATACCAACCATATAATTATACAATACAGTTTTGGATCAAGATTTGAAGTTTTTCATTAATCAATTTAAAACAAATCTTTAAAATAAATAAATAAAACAAGATTTGTTTCAAATTAATGAAGCAATTGGAACATAGAAGCAGCCAGAGGATGAAACAAACGCCAACCATCATAACAATGAGAGTACCAATGTAGCTTTGTTTCAGAGCATACTCTTTGACGGCATAGAAGGGACTGAGTGCATTGACCAGCGGGTTCCTGTGTGCGTCCAATCCGAAGGTTGACATTCCGAATTGGTCGTTGGATGTCGAACCCTCTGCTGTTTTTCATAATTTACTATTGAAATTCTAAATTTTATGGTACAAAATTACCTAAAATTTCAATATACTTCCAGATTTTGGGCTACTTTTAGAGAATGCAGATAATGTTAAATGAACAATTACAAAATGACAATGACAAACCTTGACTAGGCAGACCAGCAACGCCAGGCCTCAATGTTTCATCACTCTGACCACCCTGGTGAGTATAATTTGCAAATAACCGTTCTTAATCTACAACTCTCATAACAGTAGCAGAAATCGGAAACAATAAACAGAAACGCAAAAATCATACCGCATCAATTGTAAAATATTATTTAATATTTTATAAAGATTACTCTGATATCCTAACTTGTTGAAGAACTAACTCGGCACACTTATCACTATGAAAGCCGCGGATATCACAGCAATTATTTAAATAGATAACCCTTACAATAAACAATTTGATGATTTGAAAGTTGAGAAATTTAATGGGAACCTCCTCAGCGTCGCCAGTCTTCAAAAGGATCTTCTGATGTATGCTGTTGGCGTTCAATATGCTCTTTATTGAAAAGAACTTCATCTGATATGGAAACGTAAATTATTTAAGAATATAACAAAATAATTTTTTTTTCTATTTTTTGAATTAAACTAAACCACTAATTAATTAATTAAGATGATTTGAACGTATTATTTTTGTCGACTTCCATAAATGGCAACGTGATGAGAATCAAATAGGAAGTAATGGCGAAAATCCAGCCAGCAAGATAGTGAACAATTTTATTAACTGAACAAGTTGCATGGATAGCTTTCATGATCATTGTACTTTCTTTTACATCAAAACCTATCAAACTTTAATCCGAAATGAAGAAACTTGTTCTTGTCAATGTATTTATTTCTAACTAAATAAAACCACAAAACTTGAAAAAGTTTTAGGTAAATCAGCTTCAATATAAAACCAAATGCAATAAAAACAAAAAGCCCAAATGTTGATCAATGCAAAGCGATAAAAAAAATAAATTAAGATCAGAAAAATATTGCAAAATATAAAACAGATTAAAATGATAAAAGTGGAAAGATTAAAAGTGAGAGGACAGTGTTGAATGAGGTATCAAGTTCCAGTGAGACGTGAACATTTCAAATTCTCGATGTTATCAGTTAACACCAACGATAATAATCAATTTCAACTTTAATTTGAAAAAATGATTTACATTGTGAATGAAATATTTGTAAGCGTAGTTTTTCCAAGCATGCTGAAAATAAAGTATGTTTATATCAAATTTTATAAAATTTAATCAATAAAAAAATATCTGTAGCCACACGCTTATGAAGCGCTGCTTGTGCGTGAATGTGTAACGAGTACGCGCGTCGTGTGGTGTAATTTTTGGAATAATCACTTTAACATAACTTCATGAATAAATATGTAAACAAGTTTAGCACAACAGCAAAATGATGTCAGCTGGGAGAGCTACAAATTGGTTCAACTTTGAAGTGCAAATGATAAAAATATGAACAATTATTGAAATGTAGTTTAAAAGGAAGAAAATGTTCACAGGCATTTTAAAATTGGATTCATACATTTTTATAATAAGCATTAGTTTTGTAGTTAAATACTAATGTAAAAGTGGTCAATAATTGTAAAACTAAAAACAATTGAAATGAAAAAAAAAATCTAACCTTGAGCATCCAGCGTCTGATCTCTGCAGTGAGCACAAAGTACAAGATGATGATGACAGTCAGGTGGACGTAACAGAGAGGATGAAGTTCCGTTCTCAGGTATATGAACTGAGGTTCTGTGCAATCGGATTGGGAGATGTTGATGAATCTCGTCAGACCAAGCAGCCTGCGACAGTTTTTATTAAAATAATCATTGCTAATAAACAACACATGCTGTAAATATTGGTCGAATGAATTAGACTCTTAACTTCAACAAAAATTGAAAATGTACTCATCAATATTAATTGCAATCGAATAGTAGAAATCTATGTATGTGAGCAAACAATAAGAAACATGAATTTTATGCATCTAGCAGTCTATACATCTGATTAGCATTTCTCATATTTTTACAACATTATTGCGGTAATTTGAAAATATGTCCAACAGAACACATACATTGAGAAATACAAATTTTGTTATCATTGAAAGAAACGAAAAAACTATTTACAAAATACAAATGAAAAATGAAAACATTAAAAAGAAACCTGCAAACAACCATATATAGCATGTAGATATATACGTCATACGAAAGTGTTACATATGTAATAAAGTTATATTTGTATATTTATCCACAGGCTGCCCACCTATCCATGAGACTGGATTCGCCAACATGCTCCTTCCACAGCATGTCAATCGTGGAAAACTGCCTCAAGTAGATCGCCAACAGGTGCAAGCCGGCATACGAGACTGTAAAGAACCTGGATGATGTATGGAGGAAGATGGCGGTGATGATGATGGTGCTAAAACCTCAACTATGCAAACAATGGAAAGATCAAAACAAGAAAACATTTGTATTTGTCTTTGATTATC